CCGAGTAATTTACTTTTACTTCATATTGCGGCTCTGTGAGGCCATCAAACTCATGTGTAGAAAACCTATGGTAAGCAATAGTAGAGGCGAACAATTCATGTATAAAAAACCAAGGTGGTTTATTGATGTATCCCTCCTTTTATCTTTTCTGTTGGGCTCACTTGGCTATGCAGGAGCGACGGTTTCAGCAGTTAAGACAAAAGGTGCCAAGGTTTGGACTTTTGAACCATACAATGCAGATCCTACAAATGGAAGTAACCAAAGCTATTGTTTTTTAGTCCTTGCAATTGATAGAACTTACGGTGCAAAACAAAAGGACAAATTGATTGGAGTTGTATGAATTGATGTGGACTTGTATGACATATTTGGGCTCTAGCTATTTGGTGTTTATACAGCATGCATGCAAAGGAATGATTTAGCATATTCCATTCAAAAAAAGAATATTGTTGGCTGTAATTTAACATCCGTGAAATGGCCTTGAAAACGTATTTCCTTATGCCCTGAGAAGACCAATTTCCGTTATATGACTTACCTTGATAACTCTGCAAAATTCTTGCTTGCTTCCAACTGTGCTGCAGTTGGAATCACCATGACTTGTGCCATCTAATGATTGATTAGAACTTGCAAAAGGAAGCATGGAGATGGAGAAAGGAGCCTACGGTAATACTGCCACATAGTGATTTGGGAAGATGAAGAAAAGGAGAAGGAAAAATACTCCATGCTGATGGAACGTGGAGTTTTTGCACCCGAGCTCATTCTTCTAGAAAAAGCTGGTTATGTTTTCACAGCCCCTCCTTCCTCTGCAAGTTGAGGTAAATGATCGAACATCCCTACTCGCTCAAGCGAAATAAAAGACTTTTAATTTACCATTGCTTTTGTTTTTGAGGCTGCAATAGAGACATGGGTGAAAAGGATGCCCACTATGGGAGATTTTCCACCCAACCAGTACACATCGGAATGCTCAACCAATACGTGGGATCCAATTGCTTGTCGTTTAGGAATCTTGAGATGTTGTCGGAATTTGTGTTAGCATACTGTAAATAGCGATGCAGGATTGGATCTGCGTCTGGGGTTCATTTGATCTGTCCAGGTCAGCAATGACAAACACCACCAGTCCACGGGTCATGGCACGTCATCTATTTCTGCCTAGATGATGGCACGTCATCTGTAGTATGATATGATGATAGTCCAATAGATGCAATGCAGGAGGGGCGCCTAAAACCGCTACTGACAGAAAAAGTTCTGTTGTGGAAGCAATTTAATTGCCAACACTTCTGGAAAGCGCATACAGCAGATGATCGAAGAAAGCCCATCAAGTCGATGAATATCGGGTAGCTCCATTCTTGTTTATTTTTTCCTACACTAGAAGTCATATCAACATGGAGAAAATGCAGCAGTTGACGCGGTACAGGTATTTGTCAAATCAAATTTAGGAGGCGGATTTGCAGCCCGCCCAGCAGGTTCTGAAGTTAAGTACGCGGAGACAATATGCTTGCACAGTTGCACTACACATGGCGTGACGCCGAGACCTCTGGCGTCATTTTTTGTGTGATGGATACGCACATCGGCATCACTGCACAAGATATCAAGTGGTAGTGGTACTGCGGTTGTGGCGTCATGGCTGGTAAATGCATCGGTTCGAAGGCAGGGTGTTGATCATGACTACCGACGGTCGGAATTCAGTTGGGAGCTGATCAATTCTGCCATAAATTATGGCCCATATTCTCCGGTGGAAAACGATCGCTCCATGGCGTCCAATCCATTGCCCAATAAATGGAGCGCCATGTCAAGGGATTAGTTCTCTTTCGCGTGAGAATGTTGCCCATTTTTATGCCTAATATGCCTAGAAATGACCTGCATGGATTTATTTATTATTTAAAGAGTGAATTCCACCCTTTATACTCCCTAAAATGCAGTTTGTGACATTTTGTGCCTCCTTCAGCGAAATTGCTCCAAAACACCCTGTTTAAGAAACTCCGTTCTATCAAGTGTGTCCCATAGTCATTCCTAAGTGGCGAGTTTGAATCGGTCTCCAATTCAGAGGCGCATTCATGTGAGGCGCGTTCGACATGACACACGTCATGTACCGACATGGTTTATCCTGACGAGGTTGGGCTACACGGCCCAAATTGCACACCATCTTCCTCGTCTCGTTACGTTGTACTCCATGGAACATAGGTGAATGGTAGGGTGGGCGAAGGTCATGACGCACGGGTGATTGTCAGAGGAAGAACATGCACACAGGTATGATAATTCCTTCTCCCCGTTGGCAGGCCCACCTAAATGGGGCAAAACTTGTAAAGAGGTAAAATTGGAACAAACTAGCTTGAATTGGGCATTCCAGAGATATGTCTCCAAATAGGAAACTATCACAAATTCAATCTTAGAGGGTTAAACTTGGAATTAGCTCTGTTTGAAAGGAAATGTTCCATATCCACATTAACAACTAAAAGAATGGAACAACTCTTACGTGTGATACCCACTAAGCCCTACAACAAGGTTTTTCTCTCTCTCAAAGGCATCTCTCCACCACAACACTAGCTAGTGTCTTGCATGTTTCTCCACCCATCAATGAACATCCTCTAGATAGAAAGCGGACACCAAGCAAGGCAGACATAGCCTAGACGATCTACATAGAATCGCCATGTGGCTTTAACCGACCGCAATAGAAGTATGTACTTTACAATGGATCAACTACACCGATAAAAGAAACCTCGGTGAGGAGTGCCAAAACACATTGGCATCATGGCCCAATGTTGCCGCTTTAGCAAAGCTACACCAATGAACAAGCCAAACCACCAAGTACAACAACCAGCATGCAGGTCTAGCGAGTTTTGGTACTCAACATCGAGAAGATCCATATCTGACCGAAGTGAGTCGCTTTCCATCATTGAATAGGCAAAATCCTTACCTTATTATTCTTGTGGCAAGGTCCAGGAGTTTTAAAACATCAAATGACTGCCGATATCAAACCAAAAGATCACCTGGATTTGGTAGTCCAGATAGGTAGAACTTCACCCTTATAGGTCTTGCATTGGCAACGCAATAGGAAAGATGCAAGAGGGACCTTATTCACATGTGGTTGCACCTCTAGCGCTAGGATGCCAATCCTCGACCACTCCAACATGAAATCATGCAAAAGGGGCAAAAACTATGTCCACCCCATGATTGTAGATCTAAGATTTGACATGGTAGTTGATGGTTGAGCGGGCATGAGAGGAGGAAGGAAACAATCTCGCTCGTGGGGGAGAAAGACTTAGAAAGCT